AAATTTGAATATCTTTGCATTCCGAGTTGGTGGAAAGAAGCAATGAGAGCAGATATTGAAAGGCCCACAAGAATAGAGAATAAAAAAGAAGAAAAACACCATCTATATTTGATTAATAAGAAAACCAGAAAAAAAAAACATAGGTAGTTTGGTTTGTTTCTTAGGCTAGTTTGAGAGATTTGCGAGAATGGTCGAGTTGTATTATTCTTGGATCTTTATAAATTGTTGTCTTAAGCACCAAAAACAAGGGGGGGGGGGGGTTATCAAAAGAAAAGGAAAGGGAAAAAGAGAAGAAGAAGATCTTGAACGACAATGTTGAATCGACCAACTATCTACAACAAGAAAAAAAAAGCTGGATTGGTAGGTGTTTTATAGATGTCAAAGAAGTAGACAACGATAAGTTAAAGAATGATGAACCAAAAAAAAAGTCTAAACAAGAGGGTGTTCAAGTGTATCAAGAAGATCACCAAGACATTTCCAAGTCCTTTGGTCTGTCTGTCTGTTTGTTTTTTTCAGTTTCGAGTTTAAGAAAAAAAAAATGGGGAGGGGGTGGACGAGGAGATAGAAAAAAAAAAGAAGAGAGATACACACATAAATACAAGAAAGGAAATAGGAAGCAAGTCAGAGTAGAAAGAAAGAAAAAAAACGGAGATCAGAGGGCGGAGTGAACGGGCAAGAACTGGACGATTGAGTTGCGAAGAAAAAAAAGTGAAGACCCAGCGATGATCAAGACCACACATCCTAGAGAAGGGCCAGCAGAAGGATCAACAAACAATCGAGCACAAAAAGAAAAAGAGGGGAAAGTAGAAGAGAAGAGAAACCTACCAAAAGCAGACGATTCCGGTCTTTCAAGAACTTCAGTTCAGCCGCCCCATTCTTGGTCCCGGTGGATTCGAAGATCGTCTTCAAGCTTTCTTCGACACATTTGACCATGCTCTTCCCGTCTCCACAGATAAAGATATACCCCTTCTGCTCGATAATCATCTTGTATATCCTCTCGGTTTGTAACTTGATCAAGTCCTGGACATATTCTTTCTTCCCTCCTAGTTCTGGTCTCCTTGAGATCGCCGTGAACTGTGGATGAGTTGAAATGAGGGAAATGGCCATGTTCTTTAGTTCATAATCACCATCTCTGTTAACTTTAAATGGAATGATGCAACGTACCATCTTGAACTTTCCATTGAATTCTTCTGCATATTCAGGCCACTCGTTCTTATACAAGAAATCTTCCTCTTCCTTCCTGCACCCGTAGAAGAGCATGATCTCTGCCCAATCGTTGAGGGCATCAGCCTCGCCTTGCAGACCATTGGCTTCCTTGGCTTTAGCTTTTGCTTTGCGCGCCAACATCATTCGTTCCTGGACGAACGCTCGGAACGGCGCCACTCCCGTCCCTGGACCGATCATGATCACGGGGATCTTCGGCGACGTGGGCAGTCTGAAGTTCGATCGTCGGACGTGGATCGGGATCTTCAACTTCGTGCCGTCTTCTAGGTATTTGCCTCGTGGACCAGATAAGGTATAATGCGGGGCTCCGCTTGAACGCTGGTCAATCGGTTGGTGTTCCATCCGCTCCTTCTCCCCGTGTAAAAACATCTTGGCGTTTAAAATCTATTTAACCCAGCTCATATTAGTTGCTCATTATGTTCCGATAGGGGGGACAACGAGAAAGCAATATTGACGCACATAGTTTGTTCCACAGCCATAAATCATCCGGCTTCCTGAAGGGTATTTAAGCACGACAGCCTGTTGTCCCAAAACAAACGTGATGGTGAACATGAACAAAAACAAGGTAAGCAACATGTGTGATGAAAGAATTGGAAGGTTCACTGACGGTTATATGGATTTGATCGGGATACATCTTTGGGCTGGAAGAGATTGAGTAGAACCTTGGCTGAAGACGGGGCAGACCGCTGATGATCTGATCGAATGGGATCTGGTACGTCTGAAACCAGCCTTGACCGAAGCTCTCAGACAGTGGGTCTTCAACCGACAACTTCTCAGCTCCACCAGGCAGGACGCTCATCAGACACTCTCCTAATCTCAGACCAGGTCCGGCGACAACACGCTGATAATGCTCCTTGTCGGTCCCGATAGCTTTCAACGCCGCACTAGCTGCATCCGTGGGCGCAAACCTGGCTAGTCCTGACAGCAGCTGACGAGATGCAATGCATGAAATGTCAAGATAATGCCGGAAGATAGCCTCATACGATGCTGGTGTCGGGAACGGCACTTTAGCCAACATGGGGTCTAGAGAGGAACTGTTTTGATTTTAATTCAGCAGTCAACAAGTTGAACCTTGATATTTTTTTTTTTAAAAAAAAAAGGGGGACTACTGACATCTCTACTGCTGTGGCTCGCTTCTCCCACAGTCCAAGTAATTTCATTAACCTGGCGACTTCAGAATCTGGGTTCACGGGCCATACGGCTAGATGGTCACCCGTTTGGTATCTAATTCCAGTGCCTTGAATTTCAAACTCCATGTGGACACAGTTCCGGTCCCCGGCCGCAAACAGTTCTCGGGCATTGGCTACTCTGGCAGGACAGGGGTTCTGTGAATTAAGGATTGGTTCAGCTTGGAGAAATAAAGGTAGGATAAGGGCAGATTTAGGAGATGCAGAAAGCGAGGCTCACCTTGGCGTCAAAGATACCCCGAGTACCCATCAATGCTCTTCCACTCAGTTCACCCCGATAAACTTGTGCGTCATCTATTGATCCCTCTTTACCTGGATTGACTTCAACTTCTTTGACCAGAAAGTCGGGTTCGTCTCCTCCTGCACCTTCTTCCCATCCCATCACTTTCTGGACTTGCTCCCACATTGGGTCTTTCCAGGCCAGATAGTCTATCGAAGTTCGAAGGATTGAGGGAAAAAGAATCAGTCAGATTAAGCTTGAAAAAAAAAACCTTATTTTTTTTTGTTTAAAAAAAAATTACCTTCTTCCATAGATTTATCATCATCGCCCATCCCCAGCTCTCCGATTCTCTTAGCTCCACGCTTGGTTAACAGCTCATCAACGATGATTCCCATTTGACAGAATTGTTCATAGGTGCGATTTCCGAGAGCGAAGACGACATAATTGAGATGGTCTAGTTGGTTTCCTTCGGTCTGTTGTTCTTTGAGTTGTTCGAGCATGTTGACTGCATTGTCGGTTGGCTCTCCTTCGCCATAGGTCGCCAGAACAAAGATCGCTAGCTGGTCAGCTCTCAGCTTTTCGAGACAGTCAAAATCGTACTCGTCTGGATCGGCAACGAGACTGGAGATGCCAAATTTCGATTTGGCCTCTTTGGCGATCCGGGTCGCATAATCTTCGGCTGTGCCAGTTTGGGAACCGTAAAAGACCACCGCTTTCTTTTTCTGTTGGGGGAAAAGAAGAAAAATTAGGGAACCAGGCTTTTTTGTTTCTAAAAGTGAGGGGGATGATGAACTGACCTGTAAATCCATCTTCTTCACAAAATCTCTGCCGGCAGCCAGTAGTTCAGGGTTGGAGTCGGATCGGGGGCCATTGTGGATGTTGAATCCTTGGAGCTGTTGTTGGTGGGTTGGGTTTGTTCGGTGGGCGGTTGAGGATGATGGGTTGGCGAAGAGTGTTGCGTATAGCCAGTAGAGGGTGAGTGCTCCTATGACTGAGAGAAGGATGAGGTCGGTGGATGAGAGTGAGAGCATGTTGGTGTTTGGTGTTTGGTTCTTCTGAGTTGAGTTGAGTTGGTTGGGGATGGATGGATGGTGTGAGGCTTGGTTGTTTTTTATTTGTGTTAGTCAATCGACGATTGATCGGTTGTTGTCTGGTTCCTTCCTTTCCTTTTTTTCCCAACCGGTTCAAAATATAACTCAGCCAGATCCAACGATGGCCAAACTTCAAAAAAAAAAACAAAAAAAAAAAAAAAAAAAAAACAATGTAAGCCTTGCGACGACCACCCGACCTGGGCCGGAGCAGCAATTAGTTCTCGTCACCCCTAACTTCCTGAAATCTCCAATCTAAAAATCTAGTGATCATCCGGACAACAGTACAAACTTGTGTCTCTCTCAAACCACCATTCCAGCCAGCTCAACTCGAACCAAAATATCATTAACCCTCTTCCGGCGGTACTGTGATCCTTCGATTGCCTAGACTGATCAAGCATTAAGAGACTCGGTTGATGGCTGGCCTGCTTCCACACCCGATAATTAGCTCTCCAAACGAGAAGTCCGTTGGGATTATATGTGTAGTTGGGCGATCATTTGAAACTATTTATGTAGGCCTGCAGTTCTTGTGTTTCTTTTTTTTTTTCTTTCTCTACAGCGAATTCCGAATTTTGTTATATGGCAGTTGAATTGCTCATTTGTTATGAACAATTGTTTCCTGCGGGTGATTATGTAGAGATTCAACTCGTGCAAATTCTTCTCGGTCTTCCCATCCAATCATGACATGAAATCATAAAGCTACAATCGCAGATACAGAAAGTAAAAAAATGATTGGCAAAGCTTATCATAATATGTACAATTCAAATGTACCATTCCTATTTAAATCTTGAGCGATAAGATTAGACCCATAGAGTTGGAATGATGTTCCACTTCTCCGACGGATCGTCCCACTGAATTCAAGGGCATCCCATTCTTGCTATGTATGGAACCTATTGTATTTGAAGCTGAAGGAATCCGGAAGCGTAGCGATTCTCACTACCAGCAGTGAATCACCGTCCTGGAAATAAATGTGTGGCCCACATTCTCCTCGCCAGATGAACAGACATGAACCAGCAGAAAAGCGAGTCCAAATTATCGCACACGTCATTTATCGACCACACTCTCCTCCACTCGGCGTTCAACTACGTTCGTTCGTAGTGTCGGCTGGTAATGTCAAGCCACGCCGACCTGTGTCAACCATGGCCTAGTCCAAGAACAAAAAAAATACGCAATCGGTTGTTAGGAAAGCGCTATGATGGATTGGATCTCTCATTCATACCATCACACAGAAAAAACCCAAATCGCATTCTTAAAACCCATTCTCGTCCAGCCTTTCTGTGTTGGTTATTCATCCTCTATCCTCATCTCCTAGTATCACCTCCATTCGTATCTGAAGCTGGCTTCTTCTTCCGTTTAATTTAGTTCAGTAGTAGATCTTTTCTTTTTTATCCCCCGTGTTGTGAGCTACAATCCTCTTATTTATCTCAAGCCCTCTATTTATTGATTCCGAAGTCAAACTGTTGTCTCTCGAGACTTGAATCGTCATAACCGAAAAAAAAAATCCTAGCGTTTGATAACCTCCGCTTTCCAGCCCAGCTTGAAGCTTAAATCAGTCCAATTAGACACACCAGCCAAGATGCAGCTCTCGTTTATCTCCGGAATAGTCTGTCTATCGCTGCTGAAGTCTTCGGAAGCCGCTCCACAACTGTCCCTAGCCCAGGCAGCAAGTCATCTAGCTCGGCCCACCAACGCCCGAGCGACGCTGATGAGCCCGACGGGAGCGCCGATCTATGGACTCGTCGAGTTCCGGGCTACAGCCACGATGGACGTCCAAGTCCAAGTCACCGTCTTTGGACTCGATCACTCCCTGCCTCATGGCGAGCATGCTTATCATAGTAAGCCCTCACACGATTTCCATAGCTCATATTGCAAGGGGGAAGACATCGTCATCTCATTTCTCATTGTTCCTCTCCTATCTATTATAGTCCATGCTAATCCGGTTGGCGCCGACGGTAATTGTGAAGCTACTGGGGGACATTTGAATCCGACTGGAATAGCCGACAGCGTGACCTGCAATCCAATGGTTCCAAAGACATGCAAAGAGGGGGTACGTTGTGTTAGGTACTCATGAAAGAGTTCATCGAACTGATCAACAACGATCCGTCTATCTTGGAATTTTATAGGATCTCAGTGGAAAACATGGCGTCTTGGCAGGCGCTCAGCGCAGCATTCAACTGTCTTACACCGACCCTAATCTGCAGTTCTCGTCGCCTGACTCCGGAATCATTGGGCGCGGTCTGGTGATCCATGACTCGAAGGGCGCACGCATCGCCTGTGGTTAGTTTCTTCCCTTCGCCCCCATCATCAGCTATTTCAAAGACTTACACAATACATTCTTTTTTTGTCTGCAGGCAATATCATCCGGGGAAACTAATCAGATAGATAGCCTTCTGATACCAACCCCAATCCTCAATTCACACGTGTCCCCCCCATATTTGTTCTGTTTTCATGACAATGATTTGATCAGTAGAGATATACATATAATCATCCAGATCACAAAAAATATACCAAAAATTGAGTTTAAAAATCGTCACTTTATTATATTCATAACATGCACAAACATCAACTTTTCTTCAATTCTATGCAACTGTGAGATGGAGAAATTACCTTGTGAATTGTTTGACACAGAATTTGCAGTGCACATTGAAATCATATAATTATCTGCTCATATTCAGATTGGCTTGTATCATTGACAGATAAAGTGGAATATCAATGTGCATGAGCAAACAACTATGAGCCTCCAAAATTCTTGTTGAAGCCTTTTATGTTGCCCACAGCATATGTTTTTTTTTTGCTTTATAAATTTGCACATGATCAATGCATAAACTCCCTCAATAGATTAGAATATTGTTAGAGAGGCAGTCAAAAGTTGGAAGCTGATAAACCCTTCACTTTCGGGGGACACCCATGTGTCGCTGGCATAGTGGTATCCAATCACCATTTCAAGAGCCCATCACATTTCATCCTCATAGTCATAGTCAGACACAGCAATAGTCAAGAACTCAATTCCAGTTGCAAGCCACTGCAGGACTGCTCACATCAGCACAAACATGCATCATCACACTCTCATTGCTCTTCTGTTGCTCTCCATCTGTAACCATTCATGGGCAGTAAACATGTGGAGAAGGTGTGGGATGTGTTCTCTGATTCACCTAGATGTGAAGGAGGAGAAGATGGGTAATTTCAAGAAACTCTCCCAAACAGGTTCAACTGGTACAAAAACTTGTGGAGAATTGCAACATGGAAATTCTAGCTGTAATTATGTGTACCCAGTGGAGTTGTTCATATGTAGATCCTGTGGTTCCTGTTGTGGTTGGAATCACTGGTGTTCATTGCTTTTCCCCAGCTCCTCCTCTTGTGTTCCTCATACTCCAATTGTGGAGTTTGCTCACCCGTACAACACCCCCCCTCAAACTCCACACCAGTGCTTACAACTATGAGAATGATAGAGACAGATATAAAAGAATCAAGAAAATATGAAAAATATGAAAGCAAGATGAAAAAATAGAACATAGCCAATGAAAAGAAAAATAAACGTGAAACAAGACAAGAATAATAAGGCAGGAGATAAAAACTTGAAAAATCAATGGTTGAAGAGAATCAATAAGAAAATAATAAAAATAATAAAAGCAGTCATGAGAGTTTTTTTTTTTTTTGGGGAATATTTTATTTAAAGAAATTGAGTGGAGATTAGCCCAGAGAGATTTAGTGAAAAAATCGGCAATATTGGAAGAAGTGGAAACCCATTCAAGCTTGATATTGTGTTCACGGACGGCATCATTGACAAAAAAGAAATTACTTTCCAAACTTTTCATCCGACCTTTTGATGCATTGTTGTCCGAGACCAGTACAGCCGCCCTGTTGTCGCATTTCAGGCTGAATCAGGACTAGCGGTGGATTCACGCCAAGAGATTTGATTATTGGAATGAGAAATAGAAGAAAATCGACGGAAGATCCTAAAGAAATAAATTCCGCCGCACAGGTCGATGTCGCCACAACCTTCTGGCGCCTGGAACCCCATGCAACTGGACTGCATAAAAAGGTGATGATGAAACCGGATGTTGATTGTTGGAATTCGCCTCCCCAATTGGTGTCGGACCACGTTACTAATGAATCATCCTTGGCTTCTAGTTTCAAACGTTTTTCCTTGTGGGTTGCGAGATACTGGACGAGATGAGACAATGCTGCCACAATGTGTCTCATTTGGATTTGAACTGAAACACGCCAAATAGTTGACCGCATAGCTGATATCCGGGCGGGTGCCGAGTGCTAAGTAATTCAAGGATCCGATGAACAATTGATAAAGAGTCGGAGATACGGGGTCACCCCAATTTGTCACCAGAGTGTCACCCAGTAATGGTGTATGAGTCGGAATGATGTGTCCTTGAACTTGGTCTTGAAATTTCTTGATGGTCTGGTCAATGAGAAGTTGTTGACTGAGGAAGATTGTGTCATTGGAGTATTCCAATTTGAGCCCAACTAGTTTTTCAGGCTTTGCGTCCCATTTAACCCGTAAGCTTGCCTCAAGATTTTCACGTAGTTGGTCTAGAGCCGCCGTGTCGTTGCTGAAGACGATCCCGTCATCCACATGAATCCATATTATGATGATTGACTTGCCTTTGCGGTAGCGGTATAAGCATTCTTCGACCTCGTCGCAATCAAATCCCCAACCGTGTAAAAGGGTCTTGAAATGTTTCCACCAGCACCGGCTTGCCTGCTTTGCCCCATACAAGGCCTTCTTCAGCTTGAGCACTTTCCCGGCCAGGTGAGGGAAAAGTTCAACCGGAGGATCGACATATATTGTTTCATAGATTGGACTGTGTACGAATGCGCCAGTGATGTCAAATGAATTGATGGTCCAGTTATTCTTTATGGAGAGAGTGAGTAGCATTTGAAGCGTAGTAAGAGAAGCAGTGGGAGCAAATGTGGAGCGGACATTGATGCCGAGGCGTTGTTTAAAACCTCGCACGACAAAAGGGGCCTTGAGTTTGTCAACTGAACCGTCGGCCTTTCTTTTGATGTCGAAAACGAAGCAGGTGCCGATGGAATGTTTAGATGCTTTTTCTTCAATGTCGAAGGTGTTGATGTCTTCAAGTTGTGTCCATTCAGTCAGGCACGCTGACTTCCATTGAGCCGCGTTG